AGTTAAAAGGAAGAAACAGCTGCGATCACACACCACTCTTAGAAGCACGAAGCTGAAGACACCAGCCTGAAGATGACGAATGTGACTTCGTCGAAACGTCACCAAGGTACTTTTAATTCTACGCGGGAGAAAACCTGAATAACTAAAGACCTACATACAAACACCCGCGAAAACCTCAGAAAACATATATATATATATATATATATATATATATATATATATATATATATATATATATATATATATATATATATATATATATATATATATATATATATATATATATATATATATATATATATATATATATATTAATAAACCTAGCTAAATTAAATTAAATTCTATATTTTTATAGATATTCTCTTGGTGGTCTTTATTTCTGGCACTATGAACATTCCCAAGAGTCATATTTTTTTTTTATTTCCGAATATATATATATTAATATTTCCTAATTTATTTTCTCTTTGTCATGTAATAATTGGAAAAGTTCAGAGGTAAACTTCAATTCAAAGTTACACTTTGAATAATAAAACTTTGCTTATTTTCCACTTTTCAACCAAAATATGTTTCTGTGCTCATGTAAGATTCACTAGAAGCCCTTTAACAAAATGTATTTCTGTAATAAAATGAAGTATTGTTAACATCACTTCCCAGGTTATTTTGGGAATACATTGTTCCATTTGTACTTTGTAGGCCTTGTTACATTGTGATATGAATAACACAACAGATTGATTAGGTTAATCTGCAGAACCTGATCCAAATCTATCTGGAGGGGATTTGTAATCAGGGCAAGGCAATTGTTCTGATTGGAGTTGATACCTTGTATTTGTTTTTGGAATCCCATCATATATCCATTGGAGAGCTACTGAATGTCCCTCCACATGGAGAAGACCTCTACTCCTCTTTGTCTACCACCCATAATGTACCCTTAAGAAAAGAGGAAAACCAGAATTATACCATTCCACCCAGCCCCAATCCTCTGAGCTGATCCAGAAGGACACCGTGATCAATTGGACTGAAAGCGACCAAGATGTCAAGTAGGACAAGAATGGATGTACAACCCACATTCCACCCATGCCAGAGATCACCCAAAAATGCAGTCAGAACCATTTTTTCTCCATATCTTGGCCTCAGTCCTGATAGAAAAGGATCCAGGTAATCTGCTTCATCCAAGGCTTTTTGAACCAGTTGTGCAACCAAAGTTCAAACCTTTTTCTCCTTTAAAGGACTGTTATTTTCTACCTAATACAGTCCATGATTATATTTACAATTGTAACATCTATTGAGATCCCATTTTACATGGATTCTTCTGTGATAAAGGTTTTAATCTTCTCAAGTACTAAATTCACATAGTGTACCTATGTGATTTTTTTTTCTTTTTATGACCCTGTAGTCCCTTTATTCCGGGTGGAGTTGGGACGCTGAATGGAACTGAGCATTCACTAACCGGATGTCCTTCCTGACCCCTATATGGAGTGCACATCAGATACTTTCTCTCTGCCACTGCCTAAGATTGAAGTCTCAACATTCCAAGTGGGAGGTGAGCATCTTTACCTCTAGGCTGCCATGCCACTCTCACATACCTAAGAATTTCATGGTATTAAGAATAGAATTTAAATTAAGAAATTTAATTTAAGAATTTAAATTAAGAATTTCATGGTATTAAGAAATGAATTTAAATTAAGAAATTCAATTAAGAAAGGAATTAAAAAAATAGATCTTCCATTTCAAATCAGCTAAAAAACGTGTTTGTACAAATAGCCCTAGTTCTCTATATACTGCGTAATACTTATGCAAAATATTAATAATTGTATTACTATTGATTTCTATATGGAACATACTGTAGCTATTTGTTTTTCAGTTTTGTTTTGTTTCATTTTCTTTGTTAGTTGTTCTTGTTTTGTATTTAATTAATAGATGAAAACAACAAAATAAAAACCTTTCTCTTTTTTAACTTCCCATCAAAACTTGGACAGAAAATTCAATTACTTTTCCTCTTACTTTGGTTATTCATAAATAGTGTGAATTTAGGGTGTGTATTAATTCTTTGTTTAGATCATTTCAAAATCACAAACCAGGAAACATACATGTTTAAAAAGCCACTTGAATGGAATATAAACTGAATGAATTTGAAATTCTTGCCTCTTTTGTTTTTCCAGATTCGAAGTTTTGCCTTCATTAACAGAAGTGGTTGAATAAAAGAGGAAAAGTGGAAGCAATTTAATCTTAGCTCTCGGATGCAGACTGCTATACTAGAGAATATTCTCAAAGTGTGAGAATGATTCCATTTCAGAGATAAAGGGGAATCTGCTCTTCTCTTTTTTATATAAGGGAGATTTCTTTTTTTTCTTTTTTTTTCAATATAGAATTTTATTGTTTTTATCATAAAAGAAGAAATACATCACAAGTATTACACAATGATTTATCCCATCCCCCCACCCCCCGGACTTCCCAAACCAAACCTAGGCTAACATTCAACTACAAGTAAACAAATATTAATATCTCTAACTCCAAACTCTAAACTTAAACAATCCATCTCCTCCGT